TTTTTTGGTTTTCTCGTGTAGAAATACATTAGTCTCAATAAAAAGTTAAACTAAAACTAAGTGAATCATTCTTTACTCATCGTTTGATCTCTTTGATCATTTATATTTATCTCTTTTTAGATTGATTACAGTACCATCCCATCTAATACAATAGAAGTACGTCCATCTTTGTCATTTAACTAATCTTCTATGTTTAGCTTCATAACGTTAAAAGGGGGATTTCCGTTACGGGGGAATAGAGAATTATTCATATAGGATAACTTATTAGGCCTTTTAGATTGACTATATAAACACCAACTAGGAACATTGTCAGATAGTTCGAGATCGTGCGCGTGAATGCAATAGAAAACGAGGATGTAAAGGAATCGAATCATATTTATTGAGAAGCAAAGAAGAAAAAAAATAGCATTCGCATAATGTTTTAAGTATTTGAGATAATGTTAAATTTTTGTACTCGATTATTTCCATGATCGACCACATACAGAATACCGTGTCGATCGAATGATATACCGTGGGGCGCATAGAGTTGATTTGATTGTCCTCCTCTTCCGTTACCACCAACAACAACATTGCCTTGTGTAGCTCCCTTGGGCCAACGCATGATTCGCTGATTAGCATAATCAGCCACATAGACAGTGCCTAATTGATCGACAACGGCTTCTCGAGGATATGACGATTGTGTAAGACCAACTCCTTGTCCGTGACCACCAGCTACGACAAGGCCTTCTCTTGCATCTTTCATCCATTTTATCACACGATGGTTCCAAGAGTCAGACACATAGACTGTTTGTTCTCGATCGATGAATACGTATGTTGGGCTACTAAGTTGATCGGTACGATTTCCCGGCCCATTGCCACCGGCAATCACTGTTCCTTGAGATTCCCCTCTTCGATATCGTCTCACTTCATGTTTATAATTGTCAACGACATAGAGTGATCTATTCTCATCCATTGTCAAACCCCAACAAGCGATATTGGAAATGATTGTTTCTCCACTTGTTCCGTTTCGACGAGGCCATCGAACCACTCTTCCATTCCGATGGTCACATATGATGAGACTATCACTTTCTTTGTCGATAATCACATCAGATGGAGAAGACAATTGATGAGTCCCGTTTCCTCGTCCATTTCCACCGGCAACCACTTGACCACTTGTCGCACCTCTTTTCCATTCCATAATACGATGATTCAAATCATCGGCGACATAAATTGTTTGTTCATCATCAACAAACAAACCTGCTGGAGAACTGAGTTGATCGGTTCCAGTGCCATTTCCATTTCCTCCAGCTACTGTAATACCACTTTGTTCCCATCGAGCATTTGGATGAATATCAATGGCACTTCCACGTAATGGAACAAAGGCTACAGAAAAAAACATTCTTAGTTATGTTTTGTCTTCATAATGCTTAAGATATTACTTGAGATTTCTACTTAGAAAATAGAAGAATAATTGTAGCTTCGACTTTTAAAAGCATGTACTCATACTAATGAGTTGACCCTGACGACATATTTAAGAGCTTCAAAATAGTATAAAACTCTTGTTGTAAACCAGATTTATTTAAAGTGAATTAAGAACAACTTAGTTTGTTTTCGCAAAGCCGTCTGTCCTCTGATATTACTCTAAAGATTGTATTCTTATCATTCGGATTTTTTATTTAACTGTTACCTTGGTACGTTAGTTTATCTTCTCTGTGAATAATGAAATTCGAGATATAGTAATAAAAATTTGATTTAACTGATGATCAGATATTCAGAAAATATTTAAAAGAATTGAATGCATGCAATGATATATGATGTGAAGGATAAAAGTTGTTTCAACACATTTTTTGAAGCTATTTCAAAAAAATAATTATTTTTTTTTTATTTGACTTATTAACTTTTTCTATTTGTTATTTTTTTATCTACTCTTATAGCTGCCAATAGAATAGAAAGAAGAAAACGGATATTGATTTCACCTATTATTCGTTGATGTCGAATCAATATAGGGAAAATTCGGAACTAAATAGTCTTTTTCATTCTTTGAGAACAGAATATTTTTTTCAATCTTTTTATTTTTAGCTCAAAATGATCATATGAAAATCGTATGATAATAAACAAAAACAATTATTTTATCTTTCAAACAAAGTGACCATTTACCAAAGGAGAAAAGAGAAATTGTGAGGTCATTGTACTATAACAGAAAAAGTAAAGGATATTTGCAAAGAAATTATATGAGAGAAGGAAAGAAAGGTACGAGATGACAAATTCGAGTGTTTATGACCTTAAATATATAATAGTTTAATTTGATGGGAACATTTCTTTTTCTCTACTGAAAAAAAGATAAGTCGAAAATAACTGACTCGTCTTTAAAAGGTCAATATTCAATGAAGTCTAGATTATAGTCTAGATGCTATTTGTAAATATTGTTTTAAATTATGTTTGTAGTATCTACATTGAATTTTCCATCGTATTTATATTGGATTAATTTTTAACATATTTCGATGAATTCTGCCTAGATGATGTATTCTTATTCTTTCTAAGAAACTAAAGAGTATTCATCTTTGATCTTCGTGAAGAAACTTGTGAATGAAAAAAACTATTTTGTGTAAACAGACAGGATCTGTAGTAATATCAAAAACATAGAAAGAATGGATTGCATTTTACACCAACAGATAAGATAAAGGCCGCTTTCATAATGATCAAAAGAACGTTAATATAAGAATTATTATTATTATTTCATATTATCTCATGAATAAGACGGAATTCCTCTTTGAATAAAATTATTCATCTTATTCATATACATCCAAGTTAGGCATGTGGTATCACGGGAAAGATAGAAACAATCTATATTTGGTTCGAAAATAGTATCTAACATTATCAAGAAATCCTTATCTAAAGCTTAACTGACTGTGAAACATGGGCTTTACTTATAGTTATGGTTGTAGTTGCAATATTCGTTGCTATTCATTAATATAAAAAAACATTTATGTACACAAAGTAGATACTTTTATGCCTGATACAAAATGTTGATTGAGTTGGTGTGTTTTAGATTTAGATAAAATCTAGACAAAGTTTGAGAATAGAATGATGAAACCCGATTGTTTGAAAAATGACATTTGCTTTTTAAAAAATAATTTTGAATGAAAAATTTTGGTAGTCATCGAGATTAAATGAAAGTCATAATTTTGACGATCTGATTTTATGCAACTCGTGTGTGTTCAACGCAGCAAGTTTAATTAGAGTTACCATGTCTGCTGTCTTAATCAGAAAAAGTTGTGAGAAGAGAATATCAATTCGTACAATAATGAAGACATTATTCTTTATAGAGCATTATATGAAATAATTATCTCCTTTAAACTGCTCCTACTGATCAAAATGATTAGTTCTGCTGTATTTTCTAATACAAGTAATGGCTTAGGCGTATTGGATGTCATCATAACACAAGATCAATACTCTAAGTATCGTTTAGTAAAAAGAATAGTTGAATGAATTTAATACTCATAAAAATTAAAATTTTTGATATGATATAGAGAATTGATTAGCATCAAATCAAATTATTTTAGAACTCAAATGTAGTGAATAAAAAGAGAAGTAATCTATTCTTTATTAATTAATATTCATTTCGTTTCGGGCATATTTGATCTAATTTTTTCAGAGCTTCATTGAGTTTTTATCATCCTCATCACATTTCTATGAACTGTAGATGTGAGGATAGATGAAACGACGAAGATATATCTTTAAGATAGGTTTTAGCTCTACTTCAATTGGTCAATAACTGTCTTTTATTCTTACGTGTTATTGGTGGACATGTTTCTTCATCAGTTATTGATATTGGATAACAAATAGGAAGATTATTACATCGAGGATGATAAACACAGGTATGGTTTGGTTCCTTACAATCATAATAAGGTGATTGGCAAGGAACTAGTCTAGAGCAAGTCATATACTGGAATCCACATAAACCTACGTTAACAGCACCTGCCATATGAAAACAGGCGCATGCAGGATTTGATGAACATCGGCCATACTGCGCTATTCCGCGGCATATTTGAGATTGTACTTGAACTAATGATATACTAAGTTAATGGTCTAATATGTAAAATAAAACAAGGAAGTCAAACCTGTCAGACTAAAAAGAAAGATTATTCAACATTAAATATCTAAGTAAATTATAAATTTTAGAATTACCTAAATAGAACAAGTACGAAAAAACGGGTTGCTATTGAGTCCATAGTTTGCTATTGAAATGAAATAGACTATTTATATCGATACGCGTTTTTATATCTGACAAATAGATTCATCTTTCATTGCATTCGCGGAAAGTTAAGAAAGAGACGACATAATCTTCCAATCAATAGAAAATCGATATAATTCTAATACCTAACTAATTTATTTTGTCTTAGAAAAAAAAGGCTTTATAGAATATAAAATGTTATTAAAGAAATATGAGACTGTTTTTGAGATACGAACAATCAACAGGCTGATATCATTATTTTAAATATGAATAATACTTTTCTTTTTCAATTATCTATTTACGTGAAATTAAGTTAAATCAATTCCAAAGACCATTTTTTTGGGTGTGGGTGGGTGTGGG